GAGCATCTCCCAGCCCTCAGGTCAAGCCTGTGCATGGCTTCTGACCTCCAGGGAGGAACTTCACACCCCTCTGTACTTGCCCTCCTCAAGGCTGACACACAGCTGACCCAGCATCTTCAGAGCAGCAGGAAATCCTCCCAGGCCTGATGTGAACAGGAAGCAGCCACAGTGACTGACAGCTCCTCGCTGCATGCTGGGAACAGAGGAAATGCTCTGGTCTCAGGGGACATCAGGCAGTTGAGGCCCAGGGCAGTGCATGCACCACACACCCTGCATCAGCGCAGGTCACCAAGGGTGTTGCTGGTAGAGCTCAGGTGAGGACTCAGCTCTTGGACTCCTTGGCCAGCTGCTCTCAGATCTGACTCACGCTCATGGGGACCTTAGGGTGAGCAGGGCTGCTTTGTCTGTGTCATCCCTGGCATAACACCTGGCACAGCAAAGTGTGCTCTGTATGAATGGCTGAGGGCTGGCTTTCCCCTCCTCCTGTCCTGCATTGGCAGTGCTGGGTTCTCTCCCTGCTGTGGGGGAGTAGCCAGGGCTGCCTGACCTTTAGCTCTGTGCCCCTAGCACTACAGCCAGATCCCCGATGAGCCACAGGTGCCCACTGCCAGTCATGGTCCCTCTCTTCCTGGCCTTACTCTTGGCAATGAGCTTGGTTTTGCCAGCGGTCAGTGCCTCATGCCCTGCTGGCATCTCAGGAGGAGGCCAGGAGACGGCAGCCTTCAGCCACCAAAGTATCACAGCCACATCTTTCCCAGGAAGCCCTCTGTGCTCAGCCCCATCTGGGCTCCTGCAGCTCTGAGGCACAGAATGGAAGGGAGCGAGCAGTTCCTCAATGATTCCTGCTGTGTTGGGGCCCAAATGAGCTCCTCCTCCTCCTTCTCCTTCTCCTCCTCCTGCTCCTCCTCCTCCTCTTCTTCCTCCTCCTCTTTCTCCTTCTCCTCCTTCTCCTGCTCTTGCTGCTGTGAGCTGCCCCAGAGGTTTCCCAGATGGAAGATGTGGCTTCAGGCTGAGGGAAATTGCAGACTAAGAACTTAGACAGGGGACGTGACTGAGACGTAGAGAGATTAAGGAACTTGCTTTATGAGTGCATACCATGGCCATGAAGTTGTCTGACCTGAAAGCTGAAGTCTTCACCCTGCCACGAGCTCCCTGCATCATGCGCTGGCAGGAGCCAGGGGGAATGATGGGAAATTAGAAACAGGAAAAAGACAGGCCCATAGCCAAGCTGCTGCTGCTGAGCCACACCTGCCCTGGTGTTCAGGACACAGGGATGGGTGTACTCTCCATGTTTGCAGGGGAAACTGAGGCACGGTGGAGTTAATGCACTCAAGTTCTCCCCAGCCCTGGAAGTGGGAGATGGGGACTAGGAAGGCCCAGATAGGGCTGGAGTTCAAACTTCTTGGCTGTCCTCCCTCGATGGTCAACATCCTGTCCCCTCAGCTGCTCTGGGGCCTCAGTGCCCTTGAGGTAGGATGAGTCATCTGCCAGCACCCCTGTTCGATGCCACACCACAGCACCACTTCCCCATCCCTGGAGGCGCCCCAGGGGACCCCCTCCCAGTCTCTCCTGAGCTGGGGCCAATGTGGAATGAAGGGCTGGCTGCCTCCCTGCCTCCTCGAACTAATACTTCCCCTCTCTCTGTGCAATAAAAGGCTTCCAGGAAACCCAACCTTTTTGGTTCCCCTTGTCCAGCTGCCATGAGCCGCTTGCCCACAGCCCAGTGGGTAAGGCAGGCTCCCCCAGGGACATGTCTGTCTCAACAGGTGGCTCTAGCAACTGAAAGGCACTGGGAGCCCAATGAGGTAAAACCAGGGCTTTGTCTCCGGAAGACAAGAAGAGCAGCCCTGCAGGTGCAGAGGCTGAGTCTGCAGCCCCAGGAAGGGCCTGCACGGGTGAGGGCCTGCACAGCCCGCTGCCTCCCGCAGGCCTAGAGAAGCAGCACTGGGCTCTGCACCCCACTTACAGAGGAGAAGCAGGGGTTCGGGGCTTGCCTGCTTCTCTAGGGATCCAACCCATTCTGTTTGAAGCGAGACACTGGGACGCACTGCCATGCTCATGGGTACCTCCCTACACCCTCCACTGGCTGTTTGTTTGGGGGTTGTTTTGTGGGTTTTTGTTTTTGCACCGAGTGACTGGTAAATTACCAAAGCAGTTAATCACACCACTTCAGTTTTAGGTTAATCTGCTGCTTTCTGGCTGACTGGTAACTTCCCTCCCCACTGAGTCGGTTTCCTCACATGTAAATGAAGAGAACACGAAATGAGTCAGTGAATGAAGGTGGCTAGGTTAGAACAGGGTGCAGAGTTTACCCACAGTGCACAGAGTAAACACCGCAGCACTCCAGCGCTCAGTTAGCCCGAGTGCCCTCTGCTTGAGGGACAGCTCAGAAGCAATCTTTCCAACCTGAGCCAGTCCACTCTCCCCCTCTACCACTTCTGCTCTGTGTAGCCTAAGGCAAGACTTTTCACCTTTCTAGATCTCAAATTCTTCATCTCTGAGATAAACTGCAGAAGGAACTGGCGTGGCCAGTTTTATTATCACAGCTCTGCCCTTCAGGACACATGGCCTCAGGGCTACTGCACTGCCCAGCACACTTCGTGTGGACAGAGTGATACCAGCCACCCAGCCACCCCTTTCCACCTTCTCCAGTGGCCAGCAATCGCTCAGGAAGTTTTTGTCAGAATGACACAGTCACACAGGTGGGTCACAGCCTTGGCCTTTGCTCCTCAAAGCAGTGTCTGGGAGCCAGCAGTGTTAACAAAGTTTAGGTGGGAGCCTGATAAAAGCATCTCGATCAGCTGCTTCAGTCAGAGCACCACCATTCAAAGGCAGGTGATAGGAATGCACATTCAGGTTTGAAAAGCACCACCTTCTTCAAGAGGTCAGTGTGAGAAGCAAAGGAACCAGTGAAGGGCCCTGAACCAATGAATGCCCCTGCATCTGGCACTGGCACTTCCACTGGCCAGGCTCCTGCAGAAGCAGCTTCAGCAAGCCAGCAGCGGCATGGGACCTTGAAGTCACCCCCTCCAGGCTCAAACCCCAACTTTGTTACTTCTTAGCTGTGCGGGCCTAGTTAATCTGCTTGATGGGGATGGCGCTGGCAAACCCACAGGGTCACCGGCAGGATCAGAGAATTCTTATAGTTACTGTATTTGGGCCTGAAACCCAGTAAGCTTCAGCCATTGATACTAACAGCTGTATTTGTTATCATCATCTGACCGTGAACCCAACAGTAATACTTCTTAGCTGACTGCCCACAGGAAGCCCAGGAGCCAGTTATGGTCACAGCTCCTCCTTCCTGATCTCCTGTCCGCATCATTTCCTCCTCACAGTGACATGAGGTTGGTCACACCTCAGAGATGGCAGGTGACCCTCCACCTTGCCTCTCCAGATCACCTAAGCAAACAGGTGGGCTCTAAGTGCATTCCGTTCTCTAAGTGCCGAAACAGGCCCAGGGTGTGGGTGAGCGAATCAGAGAAGGATGAGGCTCCAAAAGTGGGTGGCAAAGCACTTAGGCCTCCCTGCAGTGCTGTTAGAGATGCACCGCAAGGCACAAATTAGTGCACAGAGCAAGTGCGGTAGAAACATAACCCATTATTCACTTCCCTAACTCCCGCTCCACTCCCGGTCAAAGGGCTTTGCTGCTGTCTTAAGAGTTACCTCAAGACAAGGCGGCTCCCCTGCTCCTGCCCAGGGGCAGAGGGAATCTGGGAGAGAGGAGAGGGTACCAGGAGTGGGGGGTCCAGACCTGCCTCCCTGACCCTCAGGATTCTAACACTTGTGATATCTGCCATCACCATTTGTACCTATTTCTTAGAGGGGGTAAATTGAGGCTGGCTGCAGCTGATTACTCCCTCTGAGCTTTTGGCTGATTTGCCATGCTTGGTGGACTCCTGGTGTAACTGCAAAACTGCAAAATGGAACTTTAAAAGTTAGGGCTTTTTTTTTTTTTTTTTTCTAAAAATAAGCAATTACTCCAAATTTCCTCCTGAGGTGCATATAACCAATTCCCTCTGCTCTCCTTTGCTCAACAAAAGTGACAGAATATGCAGCTGTCAGCCCCAGGAGACTAGAGCCCAGTTTCCTTCCCACAAGAAAGAGGAGGATGAATTGAATTGCTGGAGAGATAAAGCAAGCGGAAAGATCTGCACTGTCTCTGTGTCCTGTTTCTCTGTGCTCCTCACTGTAGAAGACCCCCTCCCCCTGTACGGGGAGAGATGATTTGAGGCAAATGGGCCCCTCTGTTTCCTTGGAGCTAGATTTGAATAATTCCTTTTTCTTTTTTAACAAAATAAATGGTCTCCTTTGATTTGGTCGGTGGGGAGCTAAGTGGCCAGCACCAGGGACCCCGGATCTGCTATTCCCATCAAGCCTCAGCCATGAGCAGGGAGTCTGGAGCTCTCTCCAGCGGGCAGTGGCTGTGGCTCGGCCCGAGTGAACCCCTCTGTGATCCAAGGCCCAGGACCCCAGCCCCGGGTCGCAGGGAGGGGTTCGTCCTACTCATCCCTGTCCCTTTCCTGCAAGGCTCACGGTTCTTCCCGTGGGCGCATCCTCAAACCTGGGCCCCCGGCGCTCCCAAAGTCATCACAACACTGCAGCTCAGTATGCGCCTGGCTCAGTAACCAGCTGCTATAGACGTGGACCTCGGGGGCCACATTTTACAGCTCAGTTTACAGACGTCAAGGCCTCTGGCTAGGCTCACACAGCTGTCCCGAGGTGCTAGGTGTCCGTCTGGCCGTCGGCGAGGCTTAAACCCAAAGGAACCAAGTCTGAGCAGAAGCAGAACCGGAGGCCGGTCAGGGACGCCTCCGGTTCCGGGACGCTCAGGCCTCTCGGTCTCCCCCTAAGCAGCCTAGGGGTGAACCAGGGCCCAAGTCGAGGGGCAGAGCGCCCGCAGGGTCCCCGAGCCCTCGCGCGGAGCGGACGCCGAGGCCGGGACTCCTCCTCCCCCAAACCACGCGGCGGACCCAGAGCCAGAACCCGGACCCGGAGCTCACTTTGGGCTTGTTGAAGGCGGGCGCCTGCGCCATGGTGTCCGGCGTGCGCACCGGCGCTGCTCCTTCGGCCGAAGCTCTGCGGGTCTCTGCCGATCGGCGGCCGCCAGCCGGACCCCAGCGGACCCTCCGCGGTCGCAGCCACCGAGCTCCTCCATAAACGGCCGGGCCCCGCCTCTGCCCCGCCCCCGCCGGGCCCCACCCCCTCGCCCCAGCCCGGGTCCCTCTGGCCAGGCCCAGAGTTTCTGCAATTCCGAACCCGGAGATTTCCCCGGGGCGCACGCCCGAAACCTGCTCCAGAACCACCTGCGGGCTCGGCCCAGCCGCCTGGTTGGGCTCTGCCTGAGTCCCCGCCCGTCCGGTGACCCTGGCGTTCCCAGCGCTGCCCGGGCGCCCACGGGGTGCAGGCCGGAGCTAGAGGCGGGAAGCCGGTGAGCATCCGGAGCTGCCGAGCTCGGGTTCTGCAAACGTGAGCCGCGCTCGCCGCAGAAACCCACGACACCAGCGTGCAGTTAGAGGGAGGAGTCCGCTGGGGTCTGGGACCTGCTGGAGGGAGTCCACCGGGTGCGGGGGTCGGGGCTGACCGAGAGGGCATTCAGGGCGAGGGGCTCCAGGGAGCTGGGGACAAAAGGCCGGAGTGACCAGACACACGGGGGCAAGAGGGACAGCAGTAAGTCTCCTCCCAGGCGATTACCGGGATAAACCTGCCTGGGCGCAGGCAGACCCAGACCTGCGGGAAGTGCTGACAGCAGTGCTGTGTGCAATAAGAGCGCTGGCTCCCTGCACGTGCCAGCCCCCGCCAGTGGGCGACGAGCGGGAGAATTCAGAGGGCGCACTCTTCTTACACAGCGGTGAAACTGAGCCCTGAGCCGACTTCAGCTACAAATCGCAACAGAGCTACTCAGAAACAATGTTAGATGGGGAAGAAAACAGTGGCAAACATTATACACATTGTGGCACAAGCAATATGTAAAAATGAAACCAATCCCCAATGCAACGAAAAAAGGAAATCAAAACAAAACTACAGCATGCGTGCTTAGATACTGTATCAGTGCGGGGGGGGGGGGGGTGGAAAGCAAGAGAAATAAATGAGAATAGTTATTTATCTCAGGAATGAAGAAGGCCCAGGAGGGTCACTCAGGGACTTTGAGAGTGTTTGGTAAGTTTCCAGTACTAGGTAAAATGCTCCTTGACTTCATCTGTTATAAATAACTGCATCCATCAATAAGGGGGCGGGGGAGGCTGAGGAGTCCGCTGGGGCTGGAGGGCTGGGTTGCAGTCAGATCCAGCGGGGCCTGTGAGACATGGGGAAGTTTGGTCTTTCCCAAGAGCGCTGTGTCATCAGTGGAGAGTTTTAAGTGACTACAAGATGGGACCAAACTTTTATTTAGAAAAAAAATATTCTCCAGCTATTTAAAGTGGAGTCTGGAAGTCATCAGCTTCAGCATTCCGGCAGAGCTGGTTAGAAATGCTGCTCTGCTGCTCCATCCCAGACCTATGGAGCTACTAGAATCTGTATTTTTACAAGATCCTGCCCCCACGTACACACAAACAGCTTGGGTACACAGCACTAGTTGAGTGGTCTGGTGCCCTGTCACAAGGGAAGGCACTGTGTGAATCAGAGGGAGGGCAGGAGAGCAGGCAGGAGCAACTGCAGCCATCTGCAGGATATGGAGACTCAAAAGTCAAGCTACATGTAAGGGGCGAACTTGGCTGGAACTGGGTGGGGTCGTATGTGGGAGGGAGGGGAAAAGCAGTTCTAAAACAATCTGTTCTGTATGTTTTAAGAGCTACTGAGAAATTTTGGGTAAGATCTGTGTGTAACTCAGGGTAATAATGGTGTAACCACGTTTACATACCCTTGGAACCAGGGACCCTGGGAAGCAGTTTATAAACACTGTCTCATTGGATTTGTCTGTCTGCTCTGTGAAGCAGAAACTGTGCTCATTGTATAGACAAGGACACTGAGATCCAGGGAGCAGATGGCCTGCTTGGCTCATGGATTACAAGTAGATTGTAGACCTGAGATGTGCATTTGAACCTGACTGAGAACCTTCGCCGTAGGATCTGTCAAATCTAGCTACTGCCTCTGATATGACATGCAAGCGCCTCTCCAGCCTTCTACTTTCCAGCACATTCTCCAAATCCTGCTGCTCGGGATCACTTGCTGGTCAGGTGAATGTGATTGCAGGTTCCTTACTGTTCCTCTCATTGTGAGATGGACTTTCCTTCTCTCACACTTGGGCTGGTCCAAGTAATCTATGTGAGCGAATGTGGCAGGAACAACAACACCCCTGGACTTCAGAGAGTGAGAAGAGGAGCCTGGCATGGCTGGAGTGGTGCCTGTAATTGCAGTACTCACTCTGAGAGGCTGAGGCAGGATGATTGCAAGTTCAAGCCCAGCCTGGTCAACTTAGTAACTAAACAAGAGCATGTGCTAAAAAATTAAGAGGCTGGGGAGGTAGCTCAGTGCAGAGCTCCTGGTTTCAATCCCCAGTACTTCTTCCTCTCCAAAAACAGATGAGAGGGGGGAGAAGTTACGGTGTTTATTCTCTGTCCTCCCTAATTGTTTCTGGATTGACTGTGTCCCTTTATCCAGGCCAGGGCTCCTAGCAGACACTCTTCCCTCTCCAGCTTGTCCCTGCTTGTCCCTTTCTCCAAGGCGATGCCCCTTTTGTTACAGCCCCAGGTCCTGCCCCAGCGTTTTTACTTTCCCTGAACTCTGCTCTCTGGGCGAGGCTTTCCCCAGAAGGACAGCCTGAATACAGTTTGGAGTGTTTACACTTTATTTGGGAAGAGATCCAAGGGGAGGAAGCGCAGAAATAAGACAGAGCGATGGCAGAACCCAGTATGGCAGATTACCGCACAGGGCTTCTGGAGCTCGGTGCCTTGGGGGTGGTCTGGGAGGTGCTGGGGAAAATACTCAGAGTTGCCCCCTCGGAGAGTAAGGGCCCTTGTCCCCCTCTGCCATTTTTTTCAGTGCTGGGAGTGAAACCTCACACATGCCAGGCAAGCACCCTGCCTCCAAGCTACACCTCCACCTCTCAGGTACTGCATCAAGTATTCCTCCTCCAGAAATTACCTTACTGGCACATTCAGCTTATTCAACAGAACTGGCTAAGCATGGCCGATTGGCTTGACGAGACCTGCAGCAGAGAGACAGGGTAACACTCAGATGCTTGCACTAAGGCGTAGCCGTTGCCAGGGAGACTGATGCCGACCAGGACACAGAGCAACCCTGCCACACCTTTGCATATAATCCTTTATTAAGCTTCTCTCTAAACTTCACTGCATTTGAGTGTGTCACCTGGCTTCAGGCGGATCATGAGCTTCTCATGCAACCCACAGTGGGCTGAGGCCTATTGAGAGCTGGAGAGGGGTCAGATGCCTCGGTCACATTCATGATGACACAGCAGTTCACTCATGTCTGAAAACACCAGAGATGCATCTGTCCTGAAACACGCAGGAAATCTAACTCACATAGCCTTCCTGGAGATGTAATTCCAAGCTTCAAATGACAGAGAAATTAGGAGGGAGAGGTCTGGGAAACACATCTCGGTGCCATACCACATCTGTTAGGAGTATTCCTTCTTTCCTTTTTTTAAAAAATTTTTTATTTAAGGAAAGACAAAATAAAACATAAAATGGGTAGAAATAATATATACTGTCAAAGAAAAAAAACAGTAATAAATCACACTAGTTGATGTTTACATATTGTCCTCTTACAAATAGTTGTTCAAGATACAAAAGTGGAACACATAAGTGGGAATTCAAACGTGAAATTGCAAATAGTTCTATCCAACTATCCAACAAAAACTTAGTAATATGGTTATGAATCCTATACACTTAAACATACATGCAGTTATCCATATCTTCATTTATGTTGAGATTAAACAAACCAAAGCAGACTAAAATCACTCTGGACAAAGAATAATACTATTGCTGGGTGTCACATTCTGACACTCCAGGATCAGCACTGGGTACTGTAGTGTCTTTTTCCCTTCAAAGTATCTGTTCATTTCATCATGTGTCATAAGATCAGTTCTCGTAAACTGTTTATAGATTCTACGCATGCATGAGTCTTAACATGTATTTCTATCCTTTCTATATTAGAGGGGGAACTTCATTTACACAAAGAGTTAAGTGTGACAGTAACTTAGCACCAAGGTGACAATGGCAACTGTTAAAAGTTTTCAGGGGAAATCTGCATGATAAGGGAGGAGAAGCCTCTGAGGTATTGTCAAGGTGACCCTAGCTACTTAGCCCACAGAATGTTATCCATACCAAGCCCACCTGCTGGACACAGAGTGTTTGCTCCTGTAATATAGAGAACCTTTTCTTCTCCTCATCACAGTCCCGGAAGTTTATATTTGTGATCCTGTGGAAAAAGTTATTGGAACTCTAGTGAGTTAATTCCAATCTACCACCTCCATTGTGACACACGGCGGGAATAAAGGCTCTAAGATGTATGTGTAGCTGTGGGGAGCCAAGGAGGTCCTAAGTCCAGCGAGGACGATGACTAAGCTGTCCAAAGGCCTCAACCCTGGGCTGAACCCCGGTTTTATTAACTGGTGAGCAGAGGGGTGGCTGGGAATGAGCGACAATGGGAGTGGCAGGAAGGACATGAAGGCCATGAGCTGGGCTGGGGAGGTGGCCTGAGGTCACCCTATGATGGGCAGAGAGGAGATGCTGGAAGAGTAATCTGCATAACACAATTCGAGGTAGCATTGTATGTTTGGGGGTCAGCGCTTCAGTGCTGATGTGTAATTTTTTATAACCTGGAAGGACACAGTCTCTCATCTCAAAGCTTGATCCCGGCTGATGGTGCGGAGTGTGGCTCTCCCTGCTGCCCGGCTCACGCAAGCTTCTAACGGTGGGGCAACACTGACCTGTCACTTTGTTCCGAAGACTACACATCAGCACTTGGCTAGACTGATTTGTATTGCTTAAACCCAGCTGAGGGGATAGGAAAAGTCTTATCCATCTCTGTACATAGTAATACATGGAAGCAGGACCAGGTTTAGCTAACATGGAGCTAATTGCTCTTCTTACAGAGAGAGTCACCCAGCAGGTCCACCCCACTGTAACAGGTGGAGGGGTTCCCATCCGTCCTGGGGTCCAGGCTTAGTCTACAGCACATGGGTCCCAAGGTTATTCTGAGCATCTTTATTCCAGCCAGTCTGAAG